AAGTATCTTTTAACTGATCAAGAGAAACCAAGGAGTCAGCTTTACCATGTTCTGTGTTACAATTAATTTTAACTTCTTCATATTCATAAGGTTCATTTTTATAATAAGATTTAGTCTGAACTGTGGTATCATAAACATATTCACCACTACCTGGTATAATAACAACTGAACTGATTAAATTTTGCAAGCTATCAGTATTTTTTGAATTATCATTCTTAATAACTTCAAAATGAAATTTAGGTATTTTATTTTTAAATTTTGATATTGGGAAATCCTCAAACACAATATATGCAATCCCCCTAAATGCAGTTGTACAACCCTTACCCTCAACTTTTTCAATTAAAGAATCAGGCATTTGATTTTCTGAGCCTCTGTAAACCCTAATATTATACAACGACTTATCTATAATAATATCATTTATCCAAATCCTTGATACATAATCTATCTCACCCTCACATAATGCTATGGCAAGCGAAATTTTATATTCATATTTAGTATAATTATATTCAATTTCTTGATTAGAATTATTACTGCTTTTAGTTATTATTTTTTTTAATTCCTTTAAACCTGAATCCCATATAATATTTCCAGCCAATTTAACTCTACCATATACAATAGGTATTTCTTTACCATATTTGACCGTTTGAACGTTGATTTCTTCTAGTCTTTTACCTTCCGTATTAATTAATATTTCATTTTTAAATATTTTTTTGTTTAAAATTTTATCTAGTAATTTACCAATTTTAAAACTTGTTGAGTTATCAAAAATGTTAAAAGACATATTATTCAATTCTATGTAATGTATAAATTATATTAAAGTTAATGAGATTTTAATTACCCAGGAAGTATGTTAAAATCATTACAGCTAAATAATTTTAATTTAAGTGAGTTAAAAGAGAAGCAAAATGTGGTAAATTCATATTAAAAGTAAGCAAAACACAAGGGATTAGCTATATTTAAAAATTAGTTTATAAATGACAAAAATTAACAGCTTAATTCAGCAATTTAATATCAATATAAGAAAAAGTAAAAAAGCAAAAAATATGCAATAAAATATAATCAAAAAGTGAGT